AGCAAAGTAGCCAATGTGTTTTGTCGGCCATCAGTGCTTTTTGAAACCCCTACACTCACTGTAAATGCCATATTCTTAGCACTGAACTCAGATGCTCATCTATTCAAAATAAGGATGACGTCTCGGTGATCACAAAACAGGGTCTGGAGAGGGGAGGGGGTCAGATTCCACAACCCCTTTTTCACAAGAATCCTACATCCCAAGCTTTTGTCATCACCTTCCCACATATAAGTTTCTTTCCCAGTCATACATCGTTGCCCAAATGTTTTGGACAAAACTCACTTCCCAGGTAGCAGCCGCACCCGTATTCTGTTAACATTTCCTGAACCCTGGGGCCTGTTTCTCGAAAGTCCCGGTAACTTTTCGGGCCCGAAACCAAATATTCAAATCAAAATATAAAGAATAAGAATGCCGGTCCTGGCTACAAATTACTCCATTTTGTTTCATTAACTGATAGTTTTATCATGTTAGATGCAAAACTATTGAAACCTTAATCTTTAACGTAGACAGAGACAGCTTACCAGGCCCGTTAATTATCGGGACTTTCAAGAAACGGGCCCCTGCTCTGTATTTTGAAATGCTGAGCAGGCCTTTTTATCAGTCAAGCTGGCTATTTTACTCAACTTCACCTTCACAATTTCCCCATGTCTTTGTTTCCCACAGCAATTTGAGCCAGCAGTAAGCTCTTTTTCAGTCGGTGAAATAACCAGCAGCCAGCTGTTAGGGACATCCTTGATTTTAGCCAAGATCCTGGGAATACCCTTCAAGACCCTTAGAAAACGGTTGGCACTTGCAACCAGTTGATTCAAGTGCAGTGTGCTGCAGGATCAATGAAGGGCTGTGTGAGTTTCAGGCTGGCAGCAAATCTCAGTGCACACAGCTAACAATAGCCCTACACACAAGAGATTTCCTTGAATTTTGCCATGCTCTGCAGAGTAGTAAGCTATTTGCCATGGATTTCCATTATTAGTATTTACTTGAAACACACATAGGGCATTAATTAGTTACCTGGTTTTGTCTTCAAATTCCTCACAAGGTTCTTCTACTTGATTTGCTATCGGTATTTCAGACTCTTCACCACCTTCATCATTTTCTGTAACGGCAGAGTCAGTGTCGGAGAAACCTCCTTGAAACTGTGGCCTGGGCATGCTTGATGTTAAAATGAGTTAAGTTGCTTGAAAGAATTTGTTTACCTCAACTCCAACATAAATGTGTAAACTAAGACTTATAGCTTAAAGAATTTTCTTCCAAAAAGTTACACTGTGTAGATAATCCTCAGAAAGTAGTGATGTAACATGTGCAATCCAACAGTGTAACTCTGATTGCCAGAAAAAAAGAATAGTGTTGTCGTAAACAAGTTTAAGTATTCTGTAGTTCTCTTACTGCACCGGGCTGTCAGAACAACATCCAAAATTCAACAATCAACAAATTGATTCATCTGGATTAATTAGTCCAGGCTGATCCAAATTCTTCCTTACTTCCCTTGATACTCAGCAGTTTTGCCTCTTTCTAGTCTTCCGTTTCGTTGATCATAAACGATGCAGATATTTCAATCTGCTAGAAAATTCCAACAGTTAGGTTAATTGGAGCAAGCAGCCGATGATATTGTCACTACTGAATTGTCGGATCAGTTGAATAATCCAATTAACAAAAATCCATCACTGCACAACTGAGATGATCGGCCAGCTCAAAGAGGTTTCATCGAGGCAAGAAAACGCAAAACGGATGACGATTTTTTCCGGCGGTTCAAAGTATCCGCCATTTTATGTACATTCCGCGTTGCCATCCAGGGAAGCTAAGATTGCTGGGAAGAAAAATGATTGCGTGACTTGCGAGCACGACACTGATCGCAGACCTCTCCGTCTCTTCACTTTCTCTTTCACTTCAATGGAGGAAGAAAGCTGGAAAAGTGAGGAATTTGATGAATTACCCTCTTCGGGTAAGCCGAGGAATCATTCCTCGCCTCAAAGATCTTCTTCTACAATTTTCAACAATCTGCGCGGATTAAAACGCCTCGTTTGCTCTGGTGTGTTTTTGAAAGGATCTGCTTTCGCCGTGGGCTTCTCGAATCCCAGCAAAGGACCCCGCGCTATAATGGCAATAATCCTTTTGCTTTTGGATATATGTTACGTTTTTTACTCTGTTTATTGTACTTTTATCTGCCACTCGTTTGAAACTCCCCTGAACTCTTTGATTTGTGGAAATATATCCTCAACAAATTCATCGTCTGCAAGTTTACGGAATGTTTTGCTTGGATTTGACCCTCTTGGCATTCTGACGTTGGTTTTATACTCCGCTGTACTGATGTCAAACGCAACATTCTTTTGGTGTATGTGGAAATTGCCACAAAGAACAGTTCATTGCGTGACTTTAGAAAAAGCTTTCTCTGCAGCGGGGCGCTCTACTTGGGTCACGCTAAATTTAACGATGTTGATTTTTTGCATTTGTCTTCTTACAAAAATATTTTGGTTCAATTTCACCTTCAAGGAATCAAATTATCTCATAAAAATAGCAGTTTCCTTTAGAATTATACCTGTCTGGGCTATCCTCACCACTTCCTGGATATTTGTGATAATAACTAACGCAATGAAACATTGCGTGACACGGTGCAAAGCAGAAATTCAACACGCCACTGATCACAGCCTAGATGACATCATACGTATTCATAAACGTCTTTGCAAACAGATGTCAAGCACATCCGAGTCCTTGAAGGTCTGGTTTGTAACTCACTGGTTTATGTTCGCTATAACGACTGTCATTTATGTTGCAAGCATGGTATCGTTTTTTCAGGAGGCCGTAGATTGGTACAGCCTGTACAAGCATCTCCTTGTGAGTCTGCTACACCTTTATGTATTTGTATACCCAAGCTACTGTGCTGCATCTGTAACAACGCAGTGTAATCGAATGCTTAGGGGACTGAACATGACAACAGATGAAGACTGGCCCACAGGACACCCATTCTGCAACCGCTCCCAGCTGGCACTCTTCCTACAGTATGCACAGTACACCAACTGTGGCTTTCAAGTTGGAGAGATTACTTTTGGTTCTAATTTCGCTTGGTTTTCAACTCTAATTGCAATGTGTGGCTTGGGTGTGAAAGTCTTGTGATTCATACTGAGAACTAAGGAGTTACTCAAAAAAATCGTAACCAATCAATCTGAGTAAGCAATTTTTGTTGTAACATGTTTTACTAGAGAGACTAGCTCCTTTAGCATACCTCTAGTATGGCCCTGAATTTAAAAAAATCGGTACTTTTTTGAAAAATATATGACATAACGTGAACCAATCTGAACAAAGATACGAGAGTTGAAAGTGAACACTACGCTTTCAGCCATGCCATGAATTTAAAGCAAAGCACCATATTATCATATTTCGGAGAGTGCTCGGTGGCTAGTGAAGCACTACAAGTTTCATGTATGGTGGATTGTAATTCATTGTGGTATAAAAATCTGGTCAATAGAAAATGTTTGCAAGGAACACACATTGTAAACATGATCACAAGTGACAAATGGCTCGCGAAAGGATATAGTGCAAACTTTGCCATTTTGGACCAATCTTTAATTATAACCTTAGAGTCTATCAATAACCTCCAAAATGTGTTGGAAAGCACTATTAGGAACAATAGACTTCTCAAGTAATTCATTGATGGATATTAAAATAAACAAATAAATTAGCAGGGGGTGGCGAATACGTGGGTCTCAGAAAATTTTGGCAGGATCTCGAAATCTCAGAAGCATTTTTGATAAGTCTCGAAGTCTCGTTTCTGCATGGTTTGTTTTTACTTTTTTTGAGTCTCGAGACTTTTTACCAAAGAGTCTCGGGCTCGGATTTCTAACTAGGATCTCGGCGTCTTGGCGAGTCTTGGATTTTACCATTCGCCACCCCTATTAGTGATCATATTCATTTTGCAGATTATGCCAAAAATAGTGCAATTTCTAAAACAAGAGATCAAATAAACCAATTTTGTTGCAACTGACGGAAGGTTGAAAGCAAGAACAGGTATTTTTTCCATGCAGTGGGGAAAAATTATGAGCATTTTGTTGAGTTGTTATTTTGCTTAAAATGCTCTCATAGAAATCAACCAAAGTTGGCCAAAATGTTACCCATAAATAATGTACAGTATTCATACTTTTTAAAAATTTTTCATCTGTTCGGATTTCCTAGCTGAAAGTATAGTGATCCGAAAATTATAGGGATCAAAATTTACCTTTTCGAAAATTTCAGCCAGAAAAAGGGCTCCCGAAAATCCTAGGTGACCTTTTTAGGGTAAAAATCCGTTAAAAATGGGCAATTATACGATTTTTTTGAAGTTCGAAAATCCTAGGAGGGGCAGGCAAGCAAGAAATTTTTCAGAAAATGATCCAAAAATTCTAGACCTCAAATCGTCTTCCGAACAGATAATTTTCCGAAAATTGTCGTTGGGTGCCCCTGAGTGGAATCCCATCAGTTCGAAAGTGAAACACATAAAGCGCCAATGACATTATAGCCTTTTGTCTTAATCTCATGAATAAAATGTGATGGATTCTTATCTTCCCTTTTCAGTATTTCATATAGAATAGAACAATAGACTGACGTAGCTTCGACCTGTTTGTCATGTCCTGGTTTTATTTAACTAGTTTGACAGGTTTTTAGCTATTTTTGCATGCATGGATGGTGTCATTACTCATGGTTTATTCAAAAGTATGTGGGTCATGTCTTTATTTGGGTATGAAGCCACCCGTGACTTAAAGTTACCGTGTCATAGCGTAATAATACAAGTTCTGTTTCCTGCCGCTTTCATT